CTTGAGCCTTCCACAGGGAACAGTTGTTCATGTAAGGAAGTGAAGAGTAAAGAAACTGTTTTGATTCAACCTAGAATATTTTGTGCAATCCTAAATTACACTTTTTAATTTTATTCGGGAATTATGTGATTCCCCTCTCCCCTTTAAGAAATTTAATTTCATATAAAACGCCACCACAAAGAAAAAATTACATCAAAGGAGTTACAATGTTCTAAAAATATCTTCTCATTGTTTAGTGAAGGCTAATTGTTAAAATCCATCTGAATCAAAACAATAATTTAACACCCCTTTTAGAGCCCCCCAAATATACAACTTATTCTACTACTACGTAGAATTCGGCATCTGTAAAACTATGGTCTCAGAGTAGTCTTCATGTGATATTAAGAAAATTAAACTGATTGAACCATATCCCAAGAAATAATTTTTACCAGAACCACAGTATTTAAATAGTGCTGCCAGGAGTATGAATTAATTTGTTCTTCTGCTCTGCAGTAGCTTCAGTAGGGAAAAAAATTGAGGTGTAACAGATCTTCACAAAGAAATAGAAAGTTAGTCAGCATTCTATATTTTATGTGAAATATATGTTTTTTAAAAAGCCAAACAATTAGGAGAGTTCAAACAAAATTTTGTTTGAAAATTGGACTATTGAGAAAAGAAAATTCCAGAGGAAGCAGCAATGTTACTTAGAACCTGATCAAACAAAATGAGATCATCATCTCATGAGAGAACCACATCTCTGACAACAACAGTGCATTATAGGTGATATTTTCCAAGTTATGTGGGTGCGTAGACATGGAGGTTAAGTGTCTTGCAGCATTTTCAAAAGCAAACAAATGTGTTAAGTACAGTTAGGCTGTGAAGAAATTGTTTTCATTAAAAAACCACTGACATTTTCCCTAATGTTTCTTCTGAAATTGTGCAGAGACACTTTTATTACATTGCGAGGTTTTATTTAGCAAGCTTTTTAGTTTTTACAAACAATTCTGATTTGAAAATCAATAAACAACATCCCAAAAGTTTAAGAAAACCTTTATTTCAGTCTCTAAAAGTCAGATACTCTGTTGTGCAGCTTCAGGTGCTGCTATATCCTCTACCTATAATGTTAATATAGCAGCTAAGACATTTTTTTCCTATTTTAATGCATAAGTTAATTTTGTGATCTGATTTTTTTATGTAATTATTGAAAAATATGACTATGATATTTTTATGACAGGAATGGAAAGCTAAAAATACTATAAAAACACAGTTAGAGATAGCCAGTTTCTAGAGACTTAAACAATTCTTTTTTTAATATTGTAAAGCACTTTGTAGGTATTGAGCGTAAATACAATTACACTTCTTTTAAATTACATTAATCATGGAGAAAATGTATACATTACAGGAAATAAACTATGGTATCTATTTCTATTGGAATGGTAGTACCTTGTAAATCTTTAGAAAATACATGCCAGTGTCATAGTAAACTCTGAAATAAAACCCGGAGTATTTCATATTGCAGTTCATACTGGAAAAAAGCTTGCCCACTTACTATTTGCTTACATTATTTACCACATGATTATTTTTAAAGGGTTAAAGAGTAATGACTGGGTTTTTTTAAGGGGAACGTAGTGTTTCTTAGCATCCTTTAATATAGTTGAGCACTAATATTGTTTATGTTAACTGTAAACAAGTCAATAACATTCTGCTTCCTGATAGGTTACAGAGGACAACTTTGAAGTCTTCTACCATTACACAGTGGTGAACTCAGATGATTGTTTCCTCCATATTTTAATGACAGAGGATATTAAGTCAGAACACGGCACAAAAAGCAGGGATACAAAGGATTCCCTAAAGCACAGAAGTATCAGAAGCAGCAGCTGTAGCAGAGGTCATGATCGCAGGTGATGCAGTAGAGATTACAGAAGTGAAAACCCTGCAGGCTTTGCCAGTGACTTGCTCTGAAACAGTTAGAAGCAGCAAACATTTTGAAATATCAGGAGCTGAAGAGAAGAAAACACAGGAAAAGGAAAAGAAGAAAAAGGAAAAGAAGGAAAAGAAGGGAAGGGAAAAGAAGGGAAGGGAAGAGTGCGTCTTCCCCCAAGATGATAAAAAAGGTACTGTGCTTTCTCGTAGCAGTAAAATGAGGCTCTCTTGAGAAATATAGCTGTCCCCTTTCTTTGGCATTTTTTCAGTAATTAGGAAGACAGGGGAATCAGTTTTTCAGTGAAGAAAAGTAATGAATGATGTTCCAGACACTAGGAAGGAGAGAGAAGTGAGATAGAGAGTCCCTGCTGTGTTACCCCGTAATACCCGATGATCCAAGAGGCAGGATAATCACCTGAGATGTGGGAGCACCTTTGCAATCCTTATTCCTCAGTTTTAATCTAAGGACTTGAAAATGGCTCCCCCACATATACTGCAGTTTCTGGTTTTGACCATGCATCACATGATGAGTCTGAAAAAGCCCTTCCTGAGGAAAGTCAGTCAAAAATTATATGTCTGCGCAAAAGTGTCTGTTTTGATCAAAAAAGCCATGTTTTGGCCAGCTTAGTCATGGTGTATCATGTAAAATTGTGCTTCAATGGAATGACCATATAGCACAAATATATTCCCTTTATGTAAAAGTTAACAGTGAAGAATCTTTTAATGTCTGCATGTTTTCATATCTAGACCCATACTTTCTTAAATCCCACCATGCCGTGTCAAAAAATGAGTGTAAAACCAATGACCCTTTTCCTACTGAGCTTCAAAATTTCATCTAGATCTACCAAATCTACAAGATGCAAATCAACCTAAAAAAAGAGAGCGGAACCACTGGTTCTCTCTTCTATTATATAAGTTATATGCTTAGCAAAAGAATCATTATTGGCTACTACCTGTGTTGGATGTTTTAAGTGGTTATTTTTGCTTGTTCATGGCTACTTGAAATGATCAGTTTCCCAGGAACACAATTATAACCTGCATTTTCACCCTGTATAGACATGTATAGATTTTACAGTATTTTTGTCAGCTTTTGCAGGTAGTTATTTTCCCATTTCTTTTACATCCTTTCATTCTATTCTGGCAAAACAAAATAGGAATGTAGTGGTTGTTCTCATTTTGCAAATATTTGTGTGTCAACATCTGTGGTCCTATTGTAGTCTTCCTGCAGTGGAATCCTATTACAGAGAACATGCAGGTGTGATACTTGCGTACCTTCCATTTGCTTTGGTTTTTACCTCTGGTGAGGTTTTTTTTTCACAGCATCTGTTAATTTTGCTCACTGCAGAAGGTCTTGAACATGTCTGACCTCAACTGACTGCTATCATTTATTTTCTCTTTACTTGAACCTCCGTGATAGTCCTTCTTAATCCATTTAAAACATATGTAAAAAAAATAACTTCCCTGCCCAAATCACAGTCTGTCCTCCTTTTGATTCCTAATCCCAGATTCTCTCTGTCCTTTCCTTTTGCTATCACCACATTGAATTTGATAGTCTGTTCTCCCCGTCCGGCTCTGTGAGCGTGGTCCTGCCAGCTTGCCCCTGCTTTCTCTCCTCCGGCAGCACGACTGTCAGAACAAACACCATCTAGTTTGTACCCTGAAACCGAGGAGTGGGTCAGGTATTTGAGGAATAAGAGCAAAGGACAGACAGAATGGTATAACCGACCCCCTTCGTACTTTCCTCTAACATGCTGCCTCGCGCCCCAGGCCCAGGGGTATCAGACCCAGGCCCGACTGTGGGCCCTGCCATGGAGAGAGCTGCAGCTGCAGGGAAGAGCCCTTTCCCCACTGGAGCTGCTGCCCCACACATCTCTCTTTTCCTAGATAACGCTCTTTCCGTAGCTTTCCACTGTTCTGGCTTAGGTCATGGAAGCAGCGAGGCCATGGCGTGGTGGTGCCCGAGGCAGCGTCCTGCTTTGCTTTTCCTACCACTGGTTTGCAATGGGTTGTTCTGGTTGGGGCCTGCTCCTGGAAGGAGTTTGTGTGCAGTACGCTCGTTGGAGTCAACAGAATTGCTTGAAAAGATCTGTCTTTTTCCTCTGGTGTTTTTTAGGTTAGGACCTTGCGTATTTTATCCATAAAATGTTATGTGATCTATAAATTATTATAATAAACTTCTAACAAAATAGTGCTTGAAATGTCATGAGAGCTATAGTGAAATTTAATATATGCCTGAAAAAGGGGAACACGCTCAAATTTACAGTCTTGACTATTTTCAAATTCTAATTATGTTTCAGGAAAGGAAAACGAGAGTAATTCACTCAGAATGCTGGCCATAAAGAAAGGCAAGTGACAGTAATACACTTTGGGTGCTAGCCTATAAAGATGTTTTTCAATTGCTGTACAGAAACAGCATACACGACGGCATAAATGTTCCATACTAATCAGCATGTAAGGTTTAAAAATGTAGTTCAGTTTAAAGCTGACTTGAAAATTCTAGAAAGCTGGTTATAAATCCTAGCTGCAGAGAAATGTAACCATGTGCTGTTGTGGTCACCTTGGGTTTTGAGTTCTTGCAGACCTGTAGATTATTATGTTGTGGTTTTTTCTATCACACTCCTACTCAAGGTGTAGGTCCTCCCTCTTGGGAATCTTTCTAGATAGGTTGAATTTGGTTCTTCAGTCCCCAGATCATGCCTACATTAGTGAACTGCATGATTTACAAAGAAAAAATATATTTCCATTGATACTGAAGTAATGTGTTAACATAAACATACTTTACTACGTTATTCCCAGAGTATTATTGCTGTTTGCCTCAGAAGGCACCGCCTGTGTAGTTACCCTTCTTAATGGAAAGTGAGCATGATGGCTGTTTCGAATGAAAACGGCTTCAGAGGAGGAAAGGAGGGAACCTTGTTCTCCTATAGACCTAATTAGCTCGCCCAGTGCAGCCACATAAATGCACACACAGAGATATAAAATCTTGAATGCTTTTATCTGTGAAATACTTGTACATTGGAGTCTTAATATAGATCTTGGGCATTTTGTCAAATATTCCTCTGTTAAGTAGCTTGGATGAGTAGTATATGAGCTTATGTAAGCAGTAGAGACATACAGTGATTTTGCTGTCTCAAATAATTGCTGTATATCAATGCCAGTTTACTTTGGTCTGAATGCAGGAGGAAAAAAATTGACAGCTGAGAAGATACCACGTGAGGATCCTTCATTTTTAAGCCTGCAGAGTAGTGTGACTTCCCAGGACACATATGCATTGGCTCAGCAAATAGGAGCAGCACTTTATGAAATTAAAGATCTGAAGAATGAAATATTTGAGTTACAACACAAATTAGAACAATCAAGCTCAGAAAACCACATTTTGAAACAGCTTCAGTGTCGACACTTGAAAGCAATTGGTAGATACAATAATTCAAAAAATAACTTGCCGCATCTTTTAGCAAGTCATGATAATGAGGTGAAATCTTTAAGGAAACTCCTGAGGGTGTCTCAGGAGAACGAGAAAAATACGTCCAGGAAGATCAGAACAGTTGAAGCAGAGCTGCTGAAAGCTAAAAATGCTTTGCAGACCTTACATATGCTTTCAGAAGACAAAACTCTTGCAGAGAAAGAGGAACTTGATCGTAGATTATCAGCCATTGCAGAAAAAACGGAAGTGAATGATAAGAGAATACAGGTAATATGTGCATACCATTGTATTTGTGGAACAATAATAGGATTCTGTGCAAGAATAGTGGAAAGTTTTTAGCTGCTTCTTGTCATGTTGATGATTCTGATACAGTCCTGTACCATTGTACATTCTTTTTAATCCAATGCTGTCCTGAGTGTAATGGCAGTAGTACCACCTTCCAGTGTTCTAAATTGGGCAGAAATGTATAAGTAGATTAAGTTTGGCAATAAAGAGCTTTTTAGGAATTAAGTCGTATGCCTTAACCCTGTTAGATCAGAAGCGTAGCATATAGCTGGAGAGCAATCTTCAGCAGAGTGTCTACTCTGTTCCCTGCCAGCAGCGTGGGGTACCCAGGCTTGCTTGAGCTGTCTCGCCACAATAGCATGGACCTTAATTTACCTGGGCAGAGCACAGGATTAGTCATACAGGGACAACACCAGGGTCCTGCTCATCTGCTTCCTTGGACAACCAAAGCTGGCTTGTCTGGAACTAGCACTGTTATTTTTACGTGGTGCTGGTGGGCAGTATGGACATACCTGCATCTTAGTTCACTAATTACTGTCACTCACCGTGGTCGGCTGTAGGGTGGCTGCTGAATTAGGCAGTAATCAGGCGTCCCAGATTTTAGGGTTGGTTCTAGTGTTGGTTTATTATGCAACTGTAGTAAAAGCCTGGTGGGAGTTTAAGAGGAGATATTTCAGCTCCTTTTAATATCTCATGCTTCTTTACTCCTATTGAACCTTTCACAAAAAGGTCGGAATACAGTTTTTAATACGAAACTGGAAGAGTGAAATTTCCATTGTCCTCCAGGAATTAATTTCTATTTTCTATAGGACATATTATGCATAGAATTAAATAAAGAGCCAGGTAATCTTAGAGGCATTTCACCGTCTAAACAGCTAGGTCTGAAGTACATTTGTTACATGAAAGAAAATGAAAATATAAACAGCTGAATTCAGACTCTCTTTTGAAAACTTTCTATTTACAGAAGTCCTAATGAGAAGCTATATTTCTATGAGATGCAGGGTTGGGTGTCCAGCTTACAGTCTTAGTAACTGTAATTTCAGTGCATGACACTGGGTTCTGATGATAAAGTACTCAATAAATTACCTGGTTTTCATTTACACTAAGCTTCCTTATGCTGCCACATAGATAGATCTCAGTGTGAACAGAAATGTTGTCTTAATATTTCTCAAAGATGATTGTATTCATTAAGCCATCAGAAAGGTAATGTACAACCTTATTTTTTATGTTTGAATGCCAAATATACTTTTTTTTGTTTAGTGAAATTAGGTTTTAAATCAGTTTTTGCTCATTTTTAAAGTAATTTTTCAGGTACTTTATTATAATTTCATGCATTGTTTACAATAGAATATAATTATTAGAAGCTTACTCTTCATTATATTAACATGCTTATTGTCTAAATCTGGTAAGAACTGGAATTTTTCAACAGTCATACTGAGTACATCCATATGGTAAAATATGTAATTTTTTTAAGAGCCTAGAACAGCAGCTGAAGTTGAACAGTATCATCTTTAGTCGTCAGCTGGCAATTGAGAACAAAAAAGCTGTGGAAGTTGGGATAATTACAAAGAACATGAACACAGAAATTAGGTGTCTTCACCAACTAATTAAGGTAATCAGGATTTTAAACAGGTTTCTGTTCCTACAAAAAAATTCAAGTATTTAATGTTACCTATTCCTTTTGCCTCTTTTATATTGTTTAAAATGTAATTTTTGTTTCCTGGTTGAGTCTATAATCTACCAAAAAAGGTGAAAATATCAAATTATGAAGTTTTTGTAGGGTCTGTTTGTCAAAAGGTCAAAGTAGTTCAATAACTAATCGAAAGAGAGATTAATGCATCACCATTTGAACAAATAATCCACGCCAACTTGTTACCATTTTGATAGATCCAGGTCAATATATTCTTCTACTAACTTTAAATGAGCTCCCTTACAGAAACACTTTTGAATCAAAATGAGACAGATATTACAATCCGCAAAACTAGAGTTCAACAAAAAGACTTACGTAAACGTTTCAATAGTTTGTTTCAATTCCAGCTTGGTTTTTAGACAAATATTTTTGGGAGAAATATGTCCAGTGCAACACTTACTGCAACGCTTGTACACCAACGTACAGGAAAACCTAAAAGTAACACTAAATAGAAATAGAAACAAAACTGCCATGAATGGTATGTCATATGAGTTGTAAACGAGAAAGACAGTACATGTTCCAGAAAACATTTAAACCCTTGTGTGTTTTTGATAATTTGAACTGTGTTTGTAACACCGTTGAAATATACCTTTTTTATTTCAGTGTAAAGTGACCGATCCATCGGTTGACCCCGCTAGGGAGCTTTCTCTTTCTAAATGGACTCAAACGTCTGTGAAAGATGTTGTTATGAGGAGTTTTCCCAGACATTGTAAAGGACAGAACAGGCAACTCCTGAGGATTCATGGAGATTTGCATTTCTGTACAGGGGCATTGTTTGTCCCTCTTACCTGTGTATCAGGTGCAGAAACTTTTCTCCTGGTATTTGGCAGCAGCCAGGCTGCCCAGTTGCAAAAGCCCAGTGAGCTGTTGGGAAAGGGAAAAAGTGCGGTGCTCTTCCCGGGCCCAGTATCAAAGTGTCCCCAAGAGCACTTGCAGGCTTATTTCCCTGCCAGGGTCAGATCTCCTCCTGTATGTGCAGATCTGGGAGACGGGAGTAATTATATTCCCAGGAACACTGATGTAAAACTGTTTCAAAATGCAAATTATTCTAAAGTGCAGCCCTCACCTTAATGCTTCTCTAAAATCGTTCTGTTTCATGGGGTTTCCACAGTTTTCTATGTGTGACCAGTTCTCTTAGTTGTATTTAGGTTCACAAAACCTTCTGTTGTTTTACCACAAAGCCAGACGTGCTTATTAACCCTATTTCTGTGCCAGAACAGAGTTTATTCTTACACATTCATAGTTTGGCTCATTCAGACCGCTCAAGGTATTCAGACACACTTTCAGGACAACCTTTATCTCCAAGGTAAATGTAGCTCCTATCTTTCACACTAAAAACGGAGGGTGTTACTGAAGTCTCTCTTCCGCCTGTAAGACAGATTTCAGTAAGGAAAGAGGAGTCTTGATAAATAAATTTAAAAAGTGTGCCTCCAAAGTTTATGTCATCTTCCAAGCAATAGGTTGTAAAACAGAACTGAGCACGTAGTAACCAAGGGCACTGAGTAGATAATTTTTTTAAAAAAAGGAAGTAAAGCCAAAAATTACTTAGTCTGAAAAAAATAACTAAGAACAAAAATGAAAAAATCGGTAGAGAAGACTTCATCTTCTGAACATTGTGTTATGAAAAAGATGATGTAGGTATACAGATGTGTTCTTAGCCTTACAAAGGGAGGATTTTGGTTTGGCTCATGAAGGAAAATGACAGATTCCTATTTATATAAATGGCAAAGTCACCTCATGGCCTGGCACAAAGCAAAATCACTGACAGTTTTCTCCCAACACCAGAAAATTAAGCTGGTAAAAAGTAATTCTTAAGGCCTATTAGAAGTTTAATAGCGTTTATTTGCTTCTCAGGAAAAGGATCGGCAACTTTATATACAAAATACCTATGCGAACTGGATGCGTAAAAACCCAAAAGACAAATGTGACTCAGTACCTCATGAAAAAAGTACGTGTATATTCATTTTCCTTTTTTCTTTAGTTATGTGAAACGTACATTGTTTTATAACTGGGACGTATATTCCAAAATAAAAGCCAATATAGTACTTTTATATGGGCTAAAAACATTCTGTCACATGTAATTGAAAGGGAAGTGCTTAGTTTTTGCTCATGTATTTTATGAATACAAATACGTAACCTGTTTTTAATATTTAACCCAATTTTCATCATGAATAGCATTTAGCATACATGGTTTTAGTATACTAACAGTGACACTGAAGTAGTGCTGCTATTTCAAGTGTCTGTTTGCATCAAGAGCTGTTCGCCTGTTTGGTTTTTAGTAAGGTAAAACTATCAGTCCACACAGCTTTTGCAGACTAATTTTTGTTCAGGCTGTTCCCTTTGACTTGGCCTGGAGAATCGGTCACCCCAGACCTAGAATTCCCACAGTGTGGCTCACTAACTCAAAGCACCTCACGAACGACCCTCCTGCAGCAAGTTCCTAGTTTTAGTACAGACTTTCAAAGTGCTTTTATATGAGCAAAAATAATTAATTTATTTGAGCGTTTAAAAACTGTTTTCTCATCTTGAAAATCCTTAGACCCTCTAACTTACAAATAGCAGAGATGCTTCAGTGTCCATTATTGAAGTTCCTGCAACTTGCATTTTGTTGGGGTGAAAGGAGAGGAAGAATTTTCAGATACAAGGATTAGGAAGTTTAAAGGCCAGTATGACGAGCATACTGTCAGCTTATTTGGGAGAAGGGAATGTTTATCCTTGGTAGTCCTTTGTTTTTTAGCATAAGTAAATTTAAATGGGCAACCAGAGATCGTAATAACCCAGTTATTGCATATCCTCTCAATTAATTCTATCCACAGAATTGATGTTATTTAGAATGATACCGGAGAATGCTAGAAAAGAACAATAGAAAGTTAATTGTATCAAGGAAGAAAGAGCTCTTTAGTGAAGAGTATTTCTTTCGCATGGATGCTCAGACAGATATTGGCGAGAAATATCTATATTAGATGCAATCTTGTCTATCAAACATTCCAAGAGCAGCTACCTTGTGTGGGATTCAACTGCCTAATTATAGGCATCCAGTGCCATTTGAGATGTCCTAGCACATTCTGCCTGGCCCTGTACTTGTTGTTCCAGAAGGACACGGGCATCCTGTCAGTCCTGTGTAATATCGGCCAGCCTTATGTGGATACCTTTAATGCTTGAGGGCATCTCAAATAGCATGAGGCGCCTGCGTTCAGGCAAGTGGATCCCACCCCTTGAACTGAGGGAGCAGCAGCTAAAACCAATTACAAAACATACAAGCCAAGACCTGTTAGGTCGCCCATGTGCTCACTGTATTCATCAGGGGCAAAAATGTTGAAGACGACAGTTTTCGTGAAGCACTTACAGATTTCTGATTGTCATATGATTTAGATGTAGTATCTGAATTTACTAATAAATGTGTTTTATACAGAAACTAATAAACAGATTTCACGTACTTTCCCCACATTGAAAGTAATATTTTGCCTCCTACTCAGGATCATAAACATCCTGTCAGTATCTTAAAGGAGAGCTTTCTGCACAAAAAACTTACAGCCTTAATTTTGGATAATGATCTGAACATTGACTTCCCTGGGTTAAGCACCTCTTTAAAATACTGGTCAGATATTCCTGCTCCTAAACTGAAGGAGGAATTGGAACTTTCTTCATATGGGTACAGAAGAGCACTTAAAATTGACATGGTAGCAAGCATATCTGCTGGAAATACCGCACATGCCCACAGAATTCTTCAAATTATGGTTATCAGTACAAAGTCTTAATCATAGTCAGTTGCTTATTTCTTTCCTCTTCATTGCCTTTGCAAATCCATTACTCTGCCTTAACTACAAGTGAACTACAGGGAAAAGGTTGGTAATTCAAGTCGCAAAATTAAGGAACACAAATTCCTGCTTCTCATTCCAAGTCAGACACGTTTTTTCTATGACGCTCTGAATTGCAGTTTTAGTTACGTCACATAACTGTGGGTTTTTAAAAATTTTACTCACATATGGACTTGTACAATATTGTTTAAATTACAGAACTTACATCACTGATTACTATTGAAGTTCTTCTTTTCTTTAAGCAAAATAATGGAGCTTAGTTGGAGAGAGACCAGATATTTTGTAATGAAAATGTTCCAAGCAAAGTTGTCTGTTCTTTTGGTATTTTTGGCCAAGAAAGGTTTCATTCTCTGCCAGTTAAAGGAAACAGATGATTTAGAAATCTAGAACTGGAATTCCTGACAATTGTTTTTCCTTTTCACTATTGACTTGAATTTTCCCACAACAGACTTAGGAAGAACTATTTCCTCAAGTAATTATTTTCTCTTCTGCATTTGCAAAAATGTTTACCCAGCAGGAAAGAAAGAAAGAAATGTGGGGCTGCATTTTGTAACACTCTTGATAAATAGCTGAAGGTAGGCTTGCTTAGGTTATCAGGAAGCTCTATGAAGATAAATAAAATTAATTTATTGAGTGAAGCCATTAATTTCATGAGCTCTTCATGAGAGCAAAGTTTGCTGGGTTGTGGGAAGGTCACACCAGCTCACCTAGAGGTACAGCTCCCTCTAGTTCTGAGTTTGAGGAACACTCCGCTGATTCCTGATGAAAAAGCTGCTGAAGTAACTATTTGCTGGTTGCCTTTGAAAAGGGAAAACTAATTCCACATCTCCACATCCACATCCAAAACTCCACATCATCAGAGCCATTCCTTCAAGAGTAATCCTCAAAGTGGTTATCAACATCCTACTTACCACCAAACTGCAAACATTTGAAAATCACCGTTTTTATGGAGAATCTTCCTCTGATTTCAGAGATCAAAACTGGGAATAACGTTGAATGTTGATGTAGGTAAGATCACATTTTTGCTGCTGTGCTAGCGACTTTCTCAGCTACTGTACTCGTATCAAAACTGTTCTAAAAACAGAATAAGAGAACAATATACTCACCTTCCCCATCCCATCTCCATTCAGCTATTTCTTTAAATGTTTCATTCAATCACTCCCTTGGAATCTCTTTTCAAAGACCGTAGATATTTCAAAGAGTGTTAAGCATTTCCTCTGAAGAGTTTGGTTCCATAAAGCCTTACATAAGTGCTTAGCTTTCAGAAAGGTGAGTAACCAAATCAGAAGGCATAAAAGCAAGCATGTTTATTATACTCTGTAATAGCTGAATTTAGGAACCTGAAAGCTAAGGCCTCATACCAGACCTCTTAAATTTACGTTAGAATGTTACCACACAAATTAAGCCCATGCGGGCTCTATGGTATAGACATATTTGTCTGACTGCATATTCTGTCTGAACAGGACTTTGTAGATCTAAAACTTAAGTATATTTATGATATACTGATGTACGGATGAAAATGCTCAGAAGTCCAGGTGGCTATGTTTGTGTTCCGGTTTCAGCATTTATAGATGGGGCAGAACAAAGCATTTCTTTATTAAAGGGCATTAAACATGTTGCAAAAAAATGTTTAAATCCTAGGCCACATATTAGTATTCTCAGTCATCAAAGATATCTTTTGTTTATACCAACAATATAATTCCAGAAAGTACTGTATTACTAACGGTTGTCCTTTTTCAATAGGTCTTGGTATAAACAGATCAGTACCAGTAGAGAAACAGAGATTTCCATTACCACTGCTGGCACAGTACCAAACTCAGAAAACTGCAAAAAGTCTGATTCAGCTAAAAAAGGTATGAAAGATCGGGATCCAAGCTCTTGTTTAAACTCTCAGCTAAGCTGTATGTTATTCCCTAAGTTTCAGTAACATGCCTGAAAAGCCTGATCCGTCATCTTAACTTTCTGGGATGTGGATTTTGTGTGAATGTAATTAAATTACAGAAAATATGTAGGAAAATCATTGTGATACAAAATAAGAATATAATAGTAATAGAAATTAGTAATAATTTTATAAGTATTGCACTGACTGTGTACCTTGAAAAGTCACTAAACAAGTATTCCCTCATTATTTTTACCTTTAATTGCCAATTACAGGAGAAAAAGTCTTCAGAAGTTAAGAATCAAAAAGCTAAAGCAAATGAAGCATCCACAGATGCCCAATGTAGAACAGAAGAGCAATCAACCAAGCAAATACCAAATCCAGAACCTTGTAACAGAAGACATAGAGGTATATTTTAACCTTTTTCTCAGAAACTCATTTGATCTTTTCAAAAGTTGAGTGAACCGATGGTATTGGTAATTAACGTGGGGCTGACAGCCATTAGCCGGCACCTGACTGACAGGACCTAGTTCGACAAAATAACCTATTAAGAGTTGCTGAAACCCGGCTGCTGGTGGTATAAGGCATCCTCACACTGCTGTGCTTCTCAAAGCAGTTCCTGGTCGTGTTGGTAAAAAGTCAGTGCTTCATCTGTAAAAGTATACGGTAGTTAGTAGTTTGTTAACTTTACACTAATCAAATACTCATCTCAAATTGTTGGTTCTGAATCTTCATCATAGCTGATGTCAATGTGTATTTCTGGCTCAGGATCTGTTGCTGAGAAAGGAAAAGGACTTCTTGAAGGGCTGGGAGTATCTCCTCATTATATGTTAATCTCAGCCATTGACCGTGTTCTCATATAAAAGCTATATGCAAGGGACTCCTCTGTAAACACCTTTATTTTGAAGAAATCCTACAGAACAGAAGAAAAAAGGAGCCTGTGCATCTATTCCTTTATCTGAGTTTTTCTTTCTAAAAATATTAATGTTATTTTCGTTATAGTAAGGCCTGTAGAAAGAACCAAGGTCTGAATGCCACTGTGCTAAATACTTCACAAATGGTAGGAGATATTACGTGACCTAAGGGTCACACATTTACGAAGGTGAAACAGGTTGTTGAGGTCTCTGACTAGATCCGTAACAGAGCTAGTAGTCTCGAATGCGTTAACTCCTGTGTTTTGTACTCTGCCTTTTCAGCCTGCAGTCTTTCCAGACCCCACCGGATAACCAAAGTCATCATTTGTCTTTGAAATCCCCTTTTAAAATTGTCAGAAAACACAGGTCTTCTGATTCTGCCTGTGAATCTCTCTTCTCTGCCTGTCAGTCTCTCTTCCAACTTTCTCTCACTCCTGACATTAGACTAACTTACTGAAGTCTTACTTGGCTATTTTAGTTACTGCAACTTCATGCTTCTCCTTTACGCTTGGACTCTACCTCATTTTGGAGGTACTCTTCGAGTCTCTCCAAAGTACAGAACCTTTTACAATTTGTCCCCTGCAGCAGACAAATGTCTTTACTGTAGGCATTCGGTACACCCGTACCTTTTTCTGCTAAAAAGTGAAGCCAACTCATTTACAGGTTGGAGAGTTGCAGTATATTCTGCTCCATGCAACAAGCAACTGTGTTGTCAGTTAAGGGAAAGAAAATCATTCATATATTTAAGTTCCATTTACAAGCAAGAAAATTACAATTAGAGTTCAGATCTCAAGTGGTTTCTCTGTTGCGTTGTACATGACTTTTCTGGCTTTATATTTAGCCATTACTGATTATATTTGCATGCTAATTTATTTAATGGAGTTAAAAATAATTAAAAAGGTAAAAATATTTACCTGGATTCACTGGCACAATGATCTTGTTTAAATCTTGCCCCATCCTGTTGTATCAGTAAATAGCATTGTCATAACCCATCAATAACAAGAACTTAACCAATGAAATAAGGAAGTGAAACTTGCTGTCATTAATGCTTCATGAGTCTTTATGGCCCTAGGCAATTTAAGAACATTCCTAAAACCCACAATATTTCATTTTAGAGTATTTAAGGAAGGGCAGACAACCGATAGAAGAACACGTTTATTTGGAATTTATGGAAGAAAAACTAAAAGAGTCAGACTTGCTTAAACGGAAGGTGAAAAAACTGATGAAAACTGAACAAACTTCTCTAAGTGATGGTGTAAAAGAGAACAATCAAGAGGAAGATGCAGTGGAAGACTATGAAAAAGAAGAAAAAAAGCCAGATGAGCAGCTAAGGAACAGTGAGAAGGCTGGGAGTAAATGTGTAACTCCAGATCCAAGACAGAAAACTATTAAGCTGCAAAAAAAAGACATATTCTCAGAAGCCACTGAGAATTTGCATCACAGGCCTCTTACATCAGGTACAAAACCAAAAAAAGGCAGCCTTTGCAACGGCAGACATGCAGGTCAGGACTGCAGTAAAACAGCTGAATCCAAAGTGGAAAATTCCTTTGGGCCATATGAACCATCTTTTGGTAAAGTTCCCAAAACAAGGCAGGAGGAGAGTTCTGAAGCGGAAGGCTGCACTCAAACGACATTTGGTGAAATCTGTTAATGAAAGACCGCGTCGGACCAGGCTATGTTTGGAGAGACAACCATTCCCGTTCTGACATGAGAGTAATGAAGAAAGAGAAAGGAAAGTATGGAGGGTTACACAAGCCAAATTTCAAACCACCCCTCCTAGTTCATAACGTAAAGCATCTGACACTAATGAAGTTGTTATAAGTAACCTCTTGAGAATACACAAACTGATTATTGTATTTTATATTTAGTTAACTTATAACTTATCTTTACTCTAGAAATACGGATAATTTAAGATATTTTTTAAAAAATGTTTTTACCTTTATTAAATGCATATTCAACCTTACAAGTACTGACCATTTCTTGCAATGATTTTTCCAAAACAAGAGTTGAATCAGTTGTCACAAAGGAACATTCTTCCCTCCTTGGTCCGTGTGCCTGCATGTGCACGCATATGCGTCTTACTAGGAGTGCCTTAACAATTACGACATTTCTACCTGTTAGCAGGTGTCCAAGTTAGTCTTTGTTTTGTAATTTCCAGTTTTTTGCATCCTCTCCGCAGTGTGAGTTTTGAAGCTGATTGATTATTTGTTAGCTAGCTGAAGTGAGCAGTCTGCTTTCCTAAGGCTCATTATTGGGTTAGTACCAACAATGCAATAAAACAATTTTTTATTTTCTTCACTCCTGAAACAGCTTCTAGAATTCACACATAATAAAAGTAATTTGCTATTACATTGTTTTCACTAGCATTATAAAGCTCTAAAGCTTCATTCTTTTCCACTGTTAGAACTTATCAAAGCAGTTTGCCTGGTAACTTCCACAGCTGACATCCAAAGATGAATGTGCAAGAGTAAACTATTGTTTCGGAGAAGTCAGGCATACCCGGTTCTCCAAAAGCCTTTAAAAATCCTGCGTTTAAGGTTACATAAGCGAGGGTAGGAGGATTATGTTTTGTTCTTCATAGTAATTCACGAAACGCTTGCTAAAATGATGTGAAGTTAGGGAAAATTATGTGTATTCTATTAATTTTAAAAGGCAGTAGGACTTAAAAAAAAGTTCAAAACATTACACTGCAAAAGCTTTTAAAGGTGGTTGAGGCATTTAGATCTGAACCTCCTTGCAGGATATTTCTTTTCAAAATTTCAAAGCTTTTTCTGAAGGTAGTGCTTAAGCTGTACAGTGGGCAGGCTTCTTTTCAAAATTTCAAAGGTTTTTCTGGAGGTAGTGCTTAAGCTGTACAGTGGGCAGGTTTGAAAGCATGACTTCATGCCGTCAGAGAAGGTGTTTCTGCTCCGCAATGCCTTTACCCTTCTCCCAAAGCCAAGAGCAAACACCCAGACCTAACCCCGCGCTCCTGCTTGTACTGACTGGCGACCAAAAGCCTCTTTGCCCTTGCTCGCCCCAGTGTTTGACTGGAGCAGCCAACAAACCGCGGGTCTAATGACCCCACGCTAAGGGTGGATAAACAGCAAACGCCACCGTGAAGATTTGAAATGATGACTTCACTGTGCTAAACTTCCTAACAAGGTAAGTAGAAATATCATTAGCTACATCTTTAGATTCAGAAGTATGTCAATGACATAGTTAAATAATGTCCCAAATACTTAAAAAAAAATTACAAATAAATTAGTCCCATCGATTCCAACAGTATCTCCGTATGCAAGAACATGGGGGGGGGTGTTGGGTTGGGTTGGTTTTTTTTGGGGGGGAGAACAGCAATAGACTTTGAAAAATGGCTTAGAAAACTTGAGATGGGTTGACAAGCTTTATTTCATTAATAAAACCACAATTACACATAACAGTCAATCACAACATTTTTTTTCTTGATATTTAATACATCCATTTTCATGTTGGCTAAATGTAATCCGTAATATCAAACCGATTTGTTTTTAAATTAACCTTTTTTAAAAAAAAAAAAACATTTCATGCATATGTACACACAATGTATCCTGACCTCTTGAACTGCTTTCTAAATGCAGCGCTAATTACGGAGGGACGTGCACCCCTTCCTGCCCGCAGGAAAGCAAAGGACCTGAAATTACACAACAGCCGCATTCCACTGTACGGAGCAGGAAGCTGACCCAGCCTCACCAAAGCCCAGCTGACGAGGGGAAGGTTTCCCCTCCAGCTTTGTTCAGGCTCATGTCAAAAAAGAAAAAAGAAAAAAAGAAAAAAAGAGGTACGGAACAAGAACTTTATCAACCCACCCGTTTCTCTGATAGGGCAGCAAGGACAGGGTTGCAGATCACTGCAGCATGGAAGGTAACGTAACTTTGTCACTATGCTACAGGCACAGTACTAGGAAGAATTCTGTCCTCCTTTAAATTCAAATCTTGTGGCCGTTTCCTGTACCTAAATACACCAAGGATTTACTCCAAAACAGAAAATTGTTTTTCCTCCTCCTCATGCTTGCTACAATTTGGTTACTACTTTAGACATTTAAATCACTAATTTGCCTTTTTACATTTACCTAGCCGGTTCGGGCTATCCTGGACTGTCTTTAGGGTACACTAAAGTCCTCAGAAATGTCATCTGCTGAAGGAACAGCACTGTCTCCTACCTTCTCTTTATTAACCAGGAGCTGGAGAAGATTGGCCAGAGCTTTCCTCCCAAAACGTGGAAGGAAATAGTGTCAGTGATCCTCACTCAGTTTGGGAAGCAGAAAAAATGTCAAGGAAGGAAAGGTCAGTTATCAATACAAGTAGGAAAAAATGCAACTGTCCCAATAAATTTTAAGTCAGGGAGGAAAAAGTACCCCACCATCCATGTATTTGGCAACTGAGTGAGTCTCTTAAGAGATAAAAAGTTGATTCTGTGTATATATCAAGAATGCATTTTCTAAGCCAGCCCAAGAATACACCAATTCTAGTGTAAAAAAATAACAAGGAGGAAACTAATTCTGTTTTACCCTAAGCCAACCAAACCACCTACCTCTATCCCCTAGTACCACTTGTCACCAAATATAATCCCACCTTTGGGTGAAACTACCATATGATTCAGCAAAGAAACAGCAAAGCTCCCAAATGAATTCCGAATGCCGGTGCATTTCCAACTTAAAAATACAAATCCAACACTTTCAGAGTTTGGTGAATATATGTCACGACAAAGTCTTACAGTTCTGCCATGAATCAGTGTTCATACTTGTCAAAACAGACACAAAGTGAGGTTCTATAACGGTGGTATTTGAAAACTGACCACCAAACTGAAAAACAAACTAAGGAAAGACAAAATAAATCAAAAGGAATAGTGACTCATATCCAAATGAAGTAACAAAGATTATCTCAGACCTAGTCTCATGAATGACAACAGTTCTTTTTTTTTTTTTTTATTTTATTCATTTAAAACAGTGACAATGGAAATGTAGTTGAGGACTCCATGGATTACTGGGATTCCTTCAGCTGAAAGGGTGTAGCATGATAGCTACAACTTTATTACAAACCACAAGCCAACATGTAATTCCAACACCACCTGAAAGAGAGAGAAAACACGATTTAAGTCATCACGTTAATAACGCTGAAGCACACACGTGTCTGAAAACAACTTTGGAAGTGTAAAAAATGAAACTTAAGGAGTTATGAGGTGAACAGGAACAAAACATCTTTCTTTTTGTACACAAATGTCTCTCTGCAAGGAATGGCAGCTAATCCATGCTGGTCCTGAGAAAACCTGAAGATTTTCTGGGGAAAAGAGTACCAAATAACATCAGTATGAGCTGAAGTGTGGTATATACATACAACCTGATGGCTACAAACATTTGCTACGTACCTAACAGAAAATGTCTAAGGTGCTGAAGTTAAAGGCTTGGCAAGTAACAGAATACTTTGCTAGAACCTAAATTCAAGATTCGAGCAAGGTAAAAACTAAATTTCCTCCAAAATGTAAATCCCCGACCCTGCACAGAAGCAGACTCTTCTCTTGTCCAGCAAGCATGCTGGATACAAATCATTCTCTAGACAGCTATTAAAGATACAACAACATACAATTCCGAAAAAGTATTTTGGAATTCCTTCTAAGGCAGTTAGGACTTGCAAGCCTAATATGAAGATTCACCAGCAGCATTTTAGCTTGAAGGTAAATTTCCACACTACATTGTCCTCTTTCGGCCTACTTATCCCGTTAGTATCAAGCCAGCACACTTTTCACTCTGAAACAGGTGTCTACAACCTGTGATACCATTCTGATCATTAATTCGTTAAAACTGCCCAAAAGAGAAGGATTTAAGTAGGTAAAAATGCAACAGAAGTGCGATGGGAAAAAGGCTGGGAACAGACAAGACAAAATGCCAAGAGAGAGCATACTTCATCGCTCTGGAGTTACACTACTATGAAACACCAGCAATTTATAAGAAACACATGTAAGCGATACAGACCTATGAAGTATTTGCCTGTTTTTAAATCCAATTCTAGTATTTCAGTGGTGTCCTTAATGTAAAAATATTTCTAATTTGAAATCTTCTCCAGACTCTATTCCATATAAAGATAAAGCTGCTCTGTTTGCTAAGAAATAAAAATGACAAACAGCCTGTTTCGTTGCCAGTTAAATGAAAAAGAATTGAATATAAGCTGCTCTGTTTCAGAAGAAATAAAAATGACAAACAGCCTGTTTTGTTGCCAGTTAAATGAAAAAGAATTGAATACATAGGAAACAGCTAACCAAGTGTTTGAAACTCCTCCCTGCATTAAGGGAGTTAGAAGAAACGTACAGAAGCGGTGCTTTTAATCTGTGTATGCTCTTCGTCACTACATTGTTAGCATCCGCATGGCCTTGGGAAATGTGTTTTTTTCCAATGTGCAGTCCTTACCTGCCACCCCCGTAGGAAAGGCCACCAAGCGCTCCAACGGAGCAAGCCATTTGCTTGGAAGCACTGTGACTGGCTCAGAATAGTACTTCCAGATCAGAGAGACCATCAAGGCAGCCTAGAATTGAGATTTTTATTAGCTTGGATAATAATACACATCAAAGTACATTTCCACCGCTATTCTGAAACAGTAAATAGCAAATTGTAATTAAAGGGAATAGTTTCTTTGTTATATTACATTGTTCTTAAGCAAGTTCAAAATATTTTTAAACTCAGCATGACCTTAAATTTATAACAATACTCAAAGGTAGCAGTGAGACATTGGAAAATCCTGCTTGCTTTGAGACCCTGGTTCCAATCTAGCGTAGACAAACATAGTAATAGTAATTGTTAAATTCTGATGACTGCTTTTAGCCGTAATCCTTGCCTGCTAGGAATCCAACTGGCTTTAACATTACCCTAAGGACATCTTCACGTTGACCACTATCATCCTTAGTAGCAGATAATTCTTTGGCATCAAGTCTGAACTACAGAGACAATCTGATGAGGCACCGTGGGGAAATGTGTGGCAGCTGTAAGTGGAGATTTGCATCCTCAGCAAAAGCATATTTTGTTTTCAAAAACATAAGTAACATATATTTGCATGTATCGGAACTTTCCTGGATCCAGTGCCATATAAAAATGAAAAAAAACCCCAGTGATTAAAGAGCTAAGACAAACTCCTATCTTGTCATCTCAAAACCAGAAACACAGAGCTAAAATGAAACTCAAAACTCTTTCCATCTACAACTACCAGACCTTATCAGCAACATCGCTCCCTTCTATTTCAAGAAACGCTTCCAAGTTTGGCATGCACCATGCCATTGGAATGTCAAACACCTGTGTGACTAACCATCAGCCTATAAATGCAGGAGAGAATTGTAACACTACTGAGGATTTGGTTTAGTAATTTGTATTCATAATAAAATATTTACTTACTTGTAAGACGTAGAATACAATATTTATAACCCACTTTATTTTGGCTAATTGGGCAGTTCGTGCTTTCACTGTTAAAAGAAAAAAAAATTACTCTGCATTATTTATCATAATGAATTATACTTACATAAAACTAGTAATTTATTAATATTTCACTCTTCAAATCGGGACTTTACATTGTTTAAAAATCTCTTCTCAAATGACTCATAGCTATACTGAAAGTACCCTTCTGCAAGAAAGTGCTAGGTTCATATCACACCGTAGTTTCTTACTAATGCTACTATGAAAAGTTGCAAAACACTGATATCCTCAACCGAGAAATGTCACATGTAATCAAGAACACTATTCTCAAATGAGAACGATCACTGTGGTTACTAATTTAAGAACCTGCTTTAGAGGAAGCATGAAGTAAATTTTTCCCTTTCTTAAAAGGGGAGAATGATGGCTTTAGCAGATGCACTTTTTGCCTTATTTCAGTCAGGAACACAGTTAAGACTGTTGCTTCACTGAAGGAATCTTGGTCAGGTTCAGTATTAAACCCCTTCATGCCTGTTACAGTACCTCAGACCAATATAAAGAGGCCCAGTGAAGACAGCACATCTTCATACGTAACGGTGGCCTAAAGTTTTCTAAAACAACGTTGTTGGTTGCCAAGTAAACTACTCAAATGTAGTTTAGTTGAAATTACTAGGTTAAGAATTATACTACTGAAAGCAATCCAAAGCTGCTAGTTGTAAATATTGTCCTTTCTCTAAGCAAGGAGCCTATAAACATCATAGAATCA